AAAATAAAAGCTAATAAAAATGAAACAATGAAAAAAACGCAGGACACAGAAAATATTTTCAGAAAGAGGGGACAGGACAGGCTAGCCTATCATACAGATCAAGCTTCTATACTAACAAGGCAAAATGTAGCCCATACTTGCTTTTTTTATATTGGGGAACATCAAAGGCCTTCCATAGAATGTTCTTCACCAAAAAAGGCTATACATGGGCTGTCTTGTTCCCAATGGGTTACACCCATCTTCAGAGCTACTATGAGGAATCTTCCTAGTAGGGCTGAGTTAAAGGTCATGTACCTTGGGCAATCGGTTGCCTTGAAGAGCCAAGGATAGTTCCCAAGATTAAACCTAAAATCTCTCTGGCTGCCATACCTACAGAAGACTGCAAGTAACTCATGGATGGCTTCCTGCACAATAAAATGGGCAAGCCAGGGTTGAAATTAGATGCAGAATACATGACAACACCAGGGGTCACCATCATACCCAGGTTTCCAAACACTAAGTAGAAAACAGCAGACCAGATCTAGGAAAGTCCAGGGAGCAGTGTTCTGGCTTCCACTAGCTCCCAATTAGCCTCCCAGGGATGGGGACCCATATGCTGTGCCTAGATAGAGACAAAGATAAGGGACATCAGGTCACAGGCAGGGTAAGAAAACCAAGGATACCAGGAGAGTCACTTACCAAACAGATAAGCAGCTTTCCCCTGATCTGAAAAACAACCCAGGAATTAGGGGAGGTAGGAACTAGAAAGTGCACTACCAATGAATCATAGAAAATCCAGGAGGAAAGAAGAACTTACTGAGATTTTCCCAGAGTTCATATGAAGAAAATGAAAAACAGTGTGAACCCCATCCCCAAGAAAAGGAATGTCTGTGTGCCTGTGTTAGACCATGATGCAAAAAAAAGACCATCAACTCCAATTGAATCAAATTAAAGCAAGCTTATAATTTCAACCAGTCAGGGCTGTTCTCTCCCAAAAATTGTGGGAACAGAAGACAACCCTTTATAGCACTGAAAGTTACACAAAGGGGGTAGGGGGTGAGAACTTACAGAGAACAAAATTTCAACAAGCATAACACAAAGGCTAGTTAATATTTTAGCTAGTCCCAACATCAGAATTTATGAGGTGTCATTAGAGTTTAGAGAGGGATGTTATCTGGCCAGGGAAAGCCAGAATTTATGAGATGCCACTAAAGTTTCAGACAGGATTGTTATCTGGTCAGGAAAAGCCAGCCATAGGTGAGTTCAAGGCATGGGCAGGCATTCCAAGCAAGTTTACAACATCAAATTATGGCCAGGCTATATAGAAATCCTAATATTCTACAGAAAACAAAAATTAATCCTTTATAACTTGTGACAAGATGGCTCCTGAACTTAAGAGGGAATTAGGCTGGGTTTATCAACTGCAAAAGCCAAGAAAAAACTTTAAAATCACAATTTCTACCTACAAACCCACCCAATCACAACAAACCCTAGCTGTTCTCTCTGATCTCCTCAGACACCTCCACTGGTCCCAGGATGCTGGATCTCCCTAGAGAGCTGGACCCCAGACTCTGGCCCCTGTTGGCTGTCCCACTTACCACCAGATCTACACTTGCCCTTTTTGGTCTTACCAATGGCCTTCAGCACCTCTTGTTTTGCCTCCTATTTCTCCTCCTTAAGTCACCACAGATTCTACTTTTCCCGCCTCACCTGCATCCTTCTGGAATGTGCTTTTCTGATAAAATAGCTAGGCACCAAGAGTAGGAGCCCCAGCATGGTCAGGATCACACAAAATGCTGGCTTCCAGGGAGAAGCCTGAGGGAAGAAGGGCTCTGTGGCCCAGGCAGACAGCAGGTCAGCGGCACACCCAGGAGAGCCAGCACACTCAGAGAGGCCAGCCCTCCCCACAGCTCTGCTGGGAGTGGGCAGCAGCACTGACCTGGGATGTAAATAGCCATGGCCTTCTCCTGGCCCAGGACAGGGTTGAGGACAGAGCAGGTCMCATTCCCCACAGAACTGTCTCTCACCATCAGAGTGGCCTCCACACTAAACAGCTCCTCACTGTCTTGGGTGTGGGCCTCAGAAAGTGCTGGGAACTTSTTTCCACTGAGGTCTCTCCACTGCACCYGGGGCTTTGGGAACCATCCTGAGGCTTTGCACACCACACGCACTTCATCCTCTTCTGGCCCTTCTATGTGCACTTGAGGGTCAGAGCCCATCCCTGTGTGAAGGAAACTGTGTATCCCCAAGGGGCCACTTTGGGCCCTGAGACCTCAGAGTTGCTTAGATACTACAACATTTTAGAAGGAAGGTTTTCATGTTGAAATCTGGGAATTCTATGGGAAGAGGGAATGAAAGGAAGGAGCACAGGGACCCACAAAGGGCACTGGGCTCTTCTTCCCAACCATGAGGCACAAAGCAAACAAGAATTTGGTCCCAGGGCTCCCTCCATGAATCTTCACTCTTCTCACCTCAAGGGGACATCTGCCTCTCTGCATATATCACATCCAAAATTGTATTCAGTGACCACCTTGTTTCCTGAAATCCCTTCCCCTCCACCCAGGTCCCCATGAGTTATCTTTACCAGGTTTCCTCATATACACTTCAAAATCAAATTCACAACTGAATTCATAATTTTGCACCACTTGTGATAAAATGATTATTAAAATATCCCAATTCTTCACCCTTCTTTATACCCAGTTCTCCCACTCCCACATACTTTTTACTACCTTTTCCTCCTGCCTCTGGGCCAGTCACAGATTTGATTTACCCAATGAGAAATTAGCTAGTGTGACTAGTACAGAGGTTTGAGAGCACTTGCACCTTGGTTTCACCCTCTGCCATTTCCACAGGAGGACAATCCTGGGCTATCCAGAGGAGGATGGACTCATGTAACATTGCCTGGTCAACCTGCTATAGCTTCCCTAGGTCAACCACATGACCATCTGAAACATGAGCACACCCAACCAAGGTGCACCTGGTGAACTTTTCAGCTGACTGGAAGAACATATAAAAATTAAAAGTAAAAAGCTTAATTCTCCCTTTTGAATAAAAAAGATTCTCTTCCTTTTTCTTATAACATGTCCTATAGGAAACTTGCAATTTCAAAAAGGTACTTTCTCCTCTTTTAAAATATTTATACATGATTTTGAAAACTGGTTAGGTTTTTTGCCAGCTTTATGGCTCAGGAAGGTCTTCAAAGGACCCATTTCTTTGAAATGTAAACATCAGGGAAGATAGCAACCCTTTGCCCCCTTTTCTGTGGAAAGGTAGAAACCTAAACTAGATGAGCATCTAGCTCCAAGAAGTAAAACTACTTCCTATCATAAAGCTAGAGAAGTTTATTTTTCTTGAGATAAAGCCTATTAGATGACACAGATGGTCTCCCAAACGTTCAGGTAAATTTAGGATGAGTTATGGGGGACAAATACAGCTTTAAGCCCTCTTAGTTAAGGATTACTTATTGTTCATCTTGAATACAAGCATACAGGAGATTATATATGCTTGGCTATAAAAAGAAAGATAAAATTCCTTTCTGGAGTCCATCCTCCACTAGGTAGCCCAGGATTGTCCTCCTATGGAAATGGCAGAATATGATATGTATCATATTCTGGCTTGAGGCTTATTCAGTAACAAAGTGTTTTCTCAAAGCGTGAAAAATTTTGCTTTAATTCTATTTCTGAAACATGACCAAAGATGTAGGACTAAACCCTGGTGGGAATAGCCAAATTCAGCCCCAATTAGTTGAACTCCCTCAGTGCCTGAATTAAATACATTTTTATTGCCAGATGCACCTGAGATTGTGGTTGTTTGTTACACAGCATTATTACAGCAGTAGAACTGACACATAGTTATCAAACATCCTGCCACAAACCAACAAATAGTTCAAATAAAACTCTGGAAGCCTCTGAACTCTTCTCCTCCTCTTCCAAACTTTGTGGAAATCTACTCAGTTGAATCTGGTTTCTAAACCTGTCTGCCTCCTCCTCTCTCACCCCACTGCCATGCCTCTGGTCAGGCACTCATTCTCTCCACATCATAATTGCACTCCATGCCTCCTTCTTGCTCACCTCCATCCATCCATTCACAGCTGCCAACATGAGCATTCCCAGCATGGCTCTGTTTAGGATTCCCTCTACTCTGCATCCAAACTCCATAACACAGCACACAAAGCCTTTACTGACCTGGTAACTGCCTTCGTCTCCAACACTTCTCCCCAAACTCCACCATCTGAGACCCTCAGGGCCCTCACACTCAACCCCAAGAACTATCAGTCAAATGCAAATAGCCATATTGTATGCCCTCTGTCTTTTTACCTTCCAGCCCATCCACATCCAGGGCTCTTATGCCACCCCAGGTATCCACTCCTAATGACCTCATCCTGGCACCTGTGAGTGGTGTTAATACAGTACCATCTCTTTATTCCATTATGCTACTTCTTACCATCCTCCCCCTCACTCCTCCTACCAATCATGATGGCCTCATTATACCCAGAATAATCAACCATACTCCTACTTCAAAGGATTCATAACAGGTTCCCCCTCTGCATTAAACTCTGGCCTCCCAGATATCCACCTAGCTAAATACCTACTTCCTTTGAGCCTTGCTCAGACTGTCAATAAGACTCTGTCTGAGCCCCTATGTAACACTGCACATTGTCCTAACTTCCCAGCCCACATGCTGAGCCCCTTTCCTAGTTCTATCTAGTTTTTTGTCTTAAGTCCTTATCACCTTATAACGTCTTGTACTGTATTTTTTTATTTTTCTTACTTTGCCTCCAGAAGGTAATCTCCTCATGGCTGGGATCTCTGTTACACTGATATACCTCTGGTGCACAGAAAAGTCTCCACATATATTAGATGCTCAATAAACAGTGTTTGTATTGAATCAATGAATAAATGAATGAACCAATTTTTTTCTTAATTTCACCTATAAAATGCAATGCTAAAATAGTTGATCCCTGATAGTTCCACCAAACCTGGTACTCCCAGGATCTCTAAAATAGACATCAAGTAACTAACCTGCCACCTTCAACTCCAAATCAGCCACTGATAGTAGCCTCCATTTCTGAAGAAGCAGGTGTACATTCCATTGTCAGAAACCTCTACATTATAGATATACAAAGCAGCCTGACCCTCAGTGAGGAAGTCGCTCACCAGTGAGGTCCGCCCTGTGTACTCAGCCATCTGCTCCTCAGTCTGTTCCCACTGGTTCCAGTAGATAAACACTGCCTTGAGAATGTGGTATGGAACCATCCCAGTTCCATGTTCTCTGCATTCATGGCTGGGACTAGGGTGCAGGGCAGTATGGCATCCTCACCCAGCACTGCCACAATGGGGTGCTGAGGGCCAACAACCTGGAACTGCTCTGTGGACAGAGACATAGAAAACTAGAGAGAGACAGACCAAAAAACAGAGAACATGCACCATCAAGCAGGAAAGTCAGGAACACTGGGGCAGGGGCCAGATGAGATGACATCTGAAGTCTGATAGATTTGGAAGAGATCTTCTGACCATTATGATGTGGCCCAGAAATGATAACAAAGACACTCCCTCATTGGCCTCTGCTCCTGGTCCCTTACTTAAAGAAATCTCTAATTCAGTGGTTCCCATGCTTTTATGCACCTGAACCACCAGGATGCACACATTACTGGATCCCACTCCCAGAGCATCTCATTCAGTCCATCAGGGATGGGCCAAAGAATATGCATTTGTTAGGAGTTCCCAGGGTGGTGAGGGAGCTCTCTTTGTGAACCAGAGCTCTAACCTGGCCTGTCTCAGGAAAAACCTCAAAACTGACAAAGAGAATTCCTGCTGCCAGGGTCAACACTCTTTGGTCATTCAGTCACATCCAGGAAATTCCACTCCTACAATTCTAAATTTTTTACTTCATGCCATATTTTTCCCTCACCTGAAGGAGGAGATATATATACATATGCATTATAAAAACAGAGTTAAATGCTACTTACTGCTGTGAAAATCCTGCTCTTGTCATTCACTGAAAGCCCCTTCACTGCATGTTCAAGAAGCAAGTTCACCTCCCTCTCCACTCGCTTGGTGCTCTTGGGCTTCTCAGGCTACCACATGATTCCTCTGCAGGACACGCTGCAACAGGCCTCCAAAGAGCTACTCTAAAACCCTGTGCTGCTCCACTTTGGTCTCAGCCACCATTAAATCTCAACTGGAGGGTGACTAGGATTACTGACATCAGTGATCCTTTTAACATGTGAGCTAATCCATGTTGCTGCTCTGCTCAAAGCCTCCATATGGCTCCCCACCATATCTTTATCTTGACACTGCTGAGTTCACTGGGTTATATTCTACTATAGGAAAAGTTTTAAAGCACTGTTTTCTGGCTAATTATTTCTAGAAAAAAAGAAAAAGAAAAAGACACACAAATTGGTGAGTTTGTTTTAATTTTTAATTTATTCCCCCAATCTTTATCCAGCATGAACCTGGCAGATGGGCTGCCTGTGCCTGGTAGCCCACTGAGAAGAGTCCCAGTGGTGTGGCAGTGCAAGCCCCTTCTTCTGAATCTTCTCATCTGCCTCTCTGGTGGGGAGATCCCTCCCAGGTGAGGCTGTCACCTTCAAAACTGAAATATCCAACCAGAAGTGGCTGATAGACTTTCTTATACCTCTCACTATTAGTGGAGCCAGGGCCTGGCCGAGCCCAACCCTGAATTCAGTTGCTGAGACTTCCTGGCTGGGGCACCTGCCAGCAATCCACCCCTTTCCTCATCTGACATCCCAGGGGAGGTTAAGTATTTCTCCCATTCAAGCCCTCAGATAGAAAAGGGTAAGGGAGTGAGGCCAGAGGGAGAAAAATTGTACATTCCTATAGAAAATTGAGTGGATTTTATTACATTAATAAAAAGCAGGGCACATATACACCCATACCTGCTTCTGTAGGGCCCAGGCACATAGCAGGCCTGGTCCACCCCTTAGGCAACTGGGTAGATGCTCGTCAGAGGCCAGCCTCTGGTGCAGGTCTGCCCCTTCTGACTAGGGGACTACCGCAAGAGGTCAAGCCCAGTGGCTCATATCCAGGATGTGGTAGCATTCATTGAAGGACACCAGCAGTGTCTTGAAGCCCAACATCAAGGTAAGGTACAGGCAATCTACACAGAAACTACAAGAATATAGGGAAGAAAATGTAATATCTCAGATCCACACTGCAAAAAAGGAAAGCCACATAGACAACATGAAAAAAACAAGGGAGGAAGGTGCCCCAAACAAACCAGGACACTATAATAAAAGAATCCATGGAGCAAAGTTGATGAAAATGTCAGAGAAGGAGTTCAAAAGATTCATAATTAAAATAATCTGTGAGTGCTCACTTCGGCAGCACATATACTAAAATTGGAACGATACAGAGAAGATTAGCATGGCCCCTATGCAAGGATGACATGCAAATTTGTGAAGCATTCCATATTTTAAAAAAACAAACAAACAGAAATCCGAGAAATGCAGGAAGCAATAAACCAAATTAAAAACTCAAGTGAGAGTACAACCAGCAGAGTAGAACAATTAGAAGATAGAATATCAGACAATGAAGACAAAGTATTTCAACTTGAAAAGAACATAGACAGCTAAGCGAGACTGTTAAGAAACCATGAGTAGAACATCCAAGAAATATGGGATAACATAAAGAGACCAAACTTAAGAGTTATTGGGATACAGGAAGGTACATAGGTTCAAACCAAAGGAAGGAGCAATCTGTTCAATGAAATAATATGAGAAAACTTCCCAGACTTGAAGAATGAAACAGAATCCCAAATCCTAGAAGCCGACAGGATGCCAAATGTGCAAAATCATAAGAGATCCACACCTAGACACATTATAATGAAGATGCCCAACATACAGAATAAGGAGAGAATTTTAAAAGCTACAAGAGAAAGGGAGCAGATTACATTTAGGGGTAAACCAATTAGGATAACAGCTAATCTTTCAACACAGACTCTGAAAGCTAGAAGATTCTGGAACAACACATTTTAAATGCTGAAAGAAAAATGGGTTCCAACCAAGAATCATGTATCCAGCAAAATTAAACTTCAGGATTAAAGATGAAATTAAAACCTTCCACAATAAACAAAAGTTATAAGAATTTGCAGCTAGAAAACCAGCTCTTCAAAACATTCTTGGCAAAACATTACAGGAAGAGAAAATGGAAAATAACAATGAAAACCAACAGCGGGAGGTAGTACAGTAAAGGGGAAAAATAATCAAAGAGGCAAAACAATAAACAAATATTGCTGGAAGTACAAACCATATCTCAATAGTAACCCTACATGTTAGTGGCTTAAACTCACCAATCAAGAGAAACAAGCTCGTAGAATGGATAAAAAAAAAAGAAGATTCAACAATATGCTGCCTACAGGAGACACATTTGATAGGAAAAGACATACGTAGACTGAAGGTGAAAGGTTGGGAAAAATCATATCACTCATATGGACCTCAGAAACAAGCAGGAGTGTCCATACTCATATCAAATAAAATAGACTTCAGGCCAAAGTTAATCAAAAGGGATAAAGAAGGACACTACATACTGCTCAAGGAAACCATACACCAACAAGACATAACAATCATAAATATATATGCCCCAAACAATGGTGCAGCTATGTTCATCAAACAAACTATTCTCAAGTTCAAGAGTTAAATAGACCACAATATAATAATTATGGGAGACTTCAACACACATCTCTCACCATTGGACAGATCTTCCAAACAAAAGTTGAATAAAGAACTATAGAACACAATAATACAACTAATAACCTTGACTTCATTGACATATATAGAATATACCACCCAACATCAAGCAGTTACACTTTTTTCTCAGCAGCATATGGATCCTTCTCAAAAATAGACCATATATTATGTCACAGGACAACTCTTAGAAATTATAAAGGAGTACAGATAATATCATGCATCCTATCTGATCATAATGGAATGAAACCGAAATCAACGATAAAAGAAGGAAGGAAAAATCCTGCATCACTTGGAGAATGAACAATATGTTACTGAATGATCAATTGGTTACAGAAGACATCAAGGAGGAAATTAAAAAATTCTTAGAGATAAATGAAAACACAGACACAACATATCAGAATATATGGGACACAATGAAAGCATTTCTAAGAGGAAAATTCATTGCTTGGAGTTCATTCCTTAAAAAAAGAAAAAACCAACAAATAAATGATCTCACACTTCATCTCAAAACCCTAGAAAAAGAAGAGCAAAACAACAGCAAAAG